AAAAAAAAATACTGATAAATTAAGAATAATAGAAGAATCGGAAAAAAGAAAAAGAAGAGATAGAGTGTGCTTGGTGGCATATTTTAATTTGATTACTTAACAAAATGAAAGAAGTTACTCTAGATCCATGATTGCAAAAATAATAAATTAAAATGGAAAGAAAAATTATGATTGGTTGAAAGGGTGCTGACGAGAATGTGTAGGATGTCTGGAAATTTGAATTTGTTAAGCTTTCAATAAAAAAGTATTTGTTATATTCTTTAGATACTATACATGTATTAGACCATGGTTGTCACTCCGATGGAATGTCGGTCGGTTGAACCTAGTTCAACTGATGCCCTTCATGAAACCAACTGAACACCACCGATATAATCAACGTGATTGATTTTTGGCCTATAAACAAAATGACATCATTTTAATGAATTTAATTAATATAAAAATTAACTTATTATTTATTTCATGAATTTAAAAGTTAAATGTTGATGTTTTGTTAGATTCAAGTATTAAATTTTGGGGTTAAATGTTATATTTAAATATGATTATTTGTTATTTTATTTGAAATATTTTATTTTATTTAAAATTTAATATAGATCGTAAGTAAATTGTCTTTTAATATGTTTTCTATAGGCTTAAATTCATTTGGTGGATTCAAGTATAAAAGTTCGGATTTTGACGTTATATTTAAATACGAGTATTACTTATTTTGTTTGGAATGTTATATAATTTATTTAGAATTGAATATATTTTGTAAGTAAATTGTCTTCGTATATGTTTTATATACGCTTAAATTAATTTGATGTTAATGATTTTTCGTATATTTACATATTTTTTTAAACTAGCATACTAATCGAACTATACCACTTGTTAAACTGGCACAAAAGTATAAACCGGTTTGACAACTTTGTATTACACATTTCATACTTGTTTGTGAGTAGAGTTGGCGTTTAGTTTTGGTTTTCCAATAAAAAACCAAATCAACTTTTGCATTTATCAATTTCGGTTTAACTGAAAAATAGAGAAACAAAATGAAAACTTCGAACATCAGAAAAAAAGAGCAACTGAATTTAAATTAATAAGTAATAAAGTTGTCCAAAATCATTTTTGGTTCCTTCGAATCGAACTGAATCATTAAGCCCCTTTACAGCCTCTTTGGATACAATTCCGGAAGAAATGGAAATAAAAATGGAATTTCATTTCCAATTATAGTGTTTGGTATAATTTCTACAACTATGGAAATGAATTGCACTTTTAACCATAATAATAAATAATGTAATATGTTTGTTTTATTTTGGGAAATGAAATATGAATGAGAGTAAAAAAGTGTAAAATGATAGTGGGTCAGTAAACTAATAAAATGTATTGATGAGTCCCACTAATTTCATCTTCATTCTCTCAGTTCTTATCACTTTTGATAGGAATTGTAATTTCTCAATTTTAGACCAAATAGAATTCAATTCCCAACCTCATAATTATTCCGAACATAATATATAGAAATGAAAATAGATTTTTTCTCAATCCAAACTGGCTGTTAGTGATTTAGGTCGGTTCCAGGGAAATGGTTAGTTCCCCCCTCCCCACTTTCTCTCTGTCAGGTTTGGATTTCCCACCCTCAAGCTGCAACCGGCCTTTTGACTTTTCTATTCAGCAGGTCTAACACTTCTTATTTAATCGAATCATAATTAATTGAGCATATTTAAGGAATTGATTAAGCATTTCATCAAGAATAGTTTGCATAGGACAGACAGAGAAAAATGAGTTTTGAGTTCAGTCAAGTCTTAACCACTTCGACACTTCACCAAGAATTGCTGATTGAGCACAAATACATAAAAAAGTATTAGTAAAAAAACAAAATCAAGAAGTGGGCTATACGTCACACCCACTGAGTAATAAATTATTTATTTCCAGTCAAACAAGATTAGATATTTGTTTGTTATGATAAACCATATTTTCGAAATTACTCAGTTCCACAAACAATCTATAATTCTTAAAAATTATAGGTTGGATCTCATAGGCTATAGCCTTATTGGTGGCCACCATACAAATTTCTTCGCTATGAAAGAATGTGAGAACTTAACTTGAGGAATGCACTATGATAATAGTGGTAGATTATTATTAACAATAAGTGCATTTGACCGTTTATTATTTTGATCGGTGGCGAGCGACCTGCTAATGACGAATGCTGAGAGACATGACGATGTCTTTCAAGTGCTTCCACTTGTACGAGATGCAACAACGAAACATAAACCGTTCTGCACGTGTTGCCCGACAACCAATTATCTCGGTTAAGTTGGATGCATATCATCCTTCTTTCCGGCACCATAAATTTTTCGGACTATTTTTATAGGGCCAATTACGAAGATACCTTCGACAACAACACACTATTTTGAAGTTTACGGTTACTTGCTTGTCTTTATGAAAGACGATGAATCATGAATGATCAAGTCTTCACAGGCCAGTCAATTGAAAGTTTTCTACAACACATACAGGCTTGGTTAAGTATAGTGAGGATTGCTATGGATAAGGACACGCTTATTCACACGGCTAGTCTACCTGCTAGAACAGAGGTAGAGATTTCTTGGAAGCTGCCACCTCTTTAGTGAATCTTTGACAACTCCGACAACTCAGTTCACATGTATTCCACCCACGTTGGGGCAAGAGGCCTAATCAAAGATCACGAAGGTTACTGCTTAGAAGCGTTCAGTGAACTCGTGTAGCTACTCCATTATCCAGACTAAGTTGAGAGGCGCAATAAAATGCTTAAGTTGGCATGGGATGATGGGGCACAAACGTGTTCAAGTATAGCTAGACTTGCGCTATGCAATATAGTTGCTTAAGAGCACTCTCAGGAGAGATCACGAGCATGCTATAATTATCTGGCGCTTTAGAAGCTGCTCGATAGAGATTGAGAGGTTGTCATCTCGCACATTTATCATGAGGGGTAACAAGTGTGCTGCCTTTTTAGCTAGACGAGAACATTCTTTATCGCCTGGTTTTCATTTGTGTGTGTAAAACAACCTGCACCATTGGATTCTGTATGATTATCATATACACAAAATCCCGGTTAGTTATGAATGAAAGATATGTACAGAGCCGTCTAAATTATATAAAAGTAGTTATTTGTTGTTTATTTTTCGTTAATCAAGTGTATTAATTATGAGGAATTTAATTTCAGATTTGATTAATTATAAGTTTACTACAATAATTTAGCTAATAAACATCTGGTTTGGGTGAAGAGCGAACGGGATCAGGCATCAACAGCTTCCACTAACCGAATCTCACAGAACCAAAGTTGTTAAAACAGTTTATACCTTTGCACCAATTTAGCAAGTGGAATTGTTCGACCGGTGGTACAAGCGGTTTGTGCCAGTTCATATCGGTTTAACAAAGTATGTAGAAATGTAAAAAATGATTAACATCAAATGAATTTAATCATATTTGAATACAATTAACTTACAATTCATATCATTTAAAAAAACATAATTCATATTCAAATAAAATATGACATTCCAAATCAAATTATAAATGGTAATATGTAAATACATTTAACGTTAATATCTAAACGTTCATACTTATATCCAACAAATAACACATATACATTTAACGTTAATATCTAAACTTAGGGTGTGCCTACGGTGACATGCATGTCACGGTGACTTGCACTTTCCGGTCGACCTCAGTTAGGATTAGGTCGACCTCATTTAGAATTCGGTCGACCTCATATAGGATCTGGTCGACCTCATTTAGGATTCGGTCGACCTCATATAGGATCAGGTCGACCTAATCTGTTGTTTCAGTGTAAAAACAGTTCATGGTGCCTACTTTGGATATTCATATCATACAATTGGCTAGATGGAAATTGAAGACTAATGACTTGTTTTGAAGCTGGAGTGTCCCTCTACATATTGAAGTGATTGAGAGCTTGATAGGAAGTCCAGAAGATCATTTTTGAACCTCATCAAAAGGCTATGCCAAAACTGGGAAACTGTCTGGAAATGGCTAAGTCTGGAAACGTGTTTGTGAAGCCTATTTTGGAGCTCAATTCGAGAAGCATGAATGCGAGTCCAGTCCAGGAGCCTCTACCACGTTAAATTAGGTATGTTTTTATACAAATTCAAGGCATTGGATGAAAGATTGGATATCTGTAAGACTTCAAACAAAAGGGTCGAAGTTGCTACGAAGGCTGTTTTTCTGGCAGACTTCGAGCACAAGCAAGCTGCCAGAAAAACAGCCTTCGTAGCAACTTCGAGCATTTTGTTTGAAGCCTTAAAGATATTCAATCTTTCATCCAATGCCTTGCCTTTGTATAAAAAAATACGTAATTTAACGTGGTAGAGGCCCCTGGACTTGACCGCATCCATGCTTCTCAAATTGAGCTCCAAAGTAGGCTTGACAAACACGTTGCCAAACTTAGCCATTTTCAGGCAGTTTCCCAGTTTTGGCATAGCCTTTTTGTCAGGTTAAAAAATGGTCTTCTGGACTTTCTATTGAGCTCCCAAGTACTTTAATGTGTAGAGGGACACTTCAGCTTCAAAACAAGCCTTTAATCTCTGATTTCCATCTAGCCAATTATAAGATATGAATCTCCAAAGTAGGCACCATGAAACTGTTTTTACACTGAAACAACATATTAGGTCGACCTGCTCCTATATGAGGTCGACCGAAAAGTGCATGTCACCGTGACATGCATGTCACCGTAGCAAAGTCCCTAAACTTATATCCAACAAATAACATAAATATATTACTTTTAAATTCATGAAATAAAAGAGAAATTATTATTTTTATCAATTTACTAAAAATACGTCATTTTATTTAGATATCATAAATCGACCATATGAATTATTTCAAAAGTGTTCACACAAATTTTATAACCGATACCGGTTGAACCAAGGTGTGACAAACATGAAAGATGCGCCGAAGGCCGAACCACCAATCTGGCAACCCTGGCATTACAACAGCACTATAAAAAGATAGGAATATCTCACTCAGCTGTAGCAGCCTTCAACGACCCAGCCAATATTTTTATTCAAAGCTCCCTCTACAGTCTAAACCGCACTTTACTCTTCCCCCCCTTCCCCACGCTCTGCATCTCTTCACCCCCTGCGGAGTCTTCCCGTTCGTCAGACTTTGAACAGAAAAAGAGATCTTTTCAAGGTAATTGGCCAGACCCAGAAGCTCTTTTCCCCTCATATTTTCGTTCCCGCGCCGCATTCTTTCTTTGTTTTTTTTAATCCACAACTCTCTGGCCTCTGCAGCTCTGCTTTGATCAGAAGCAGATGGGAGATATGGCTTCGCCCCCGACGGGCATTGATTTGCTGAAGACCGAGCTTCCTGTTGATCAGGAAGCTTTCGTGCTCAACGGCGATGTTAAAACTGGGCTTGTTATGGTCGACTTAGTTAACGGCTTCTGCACTGTTGGCGCTGGCAACTTGGTAAGAATTACGAATCTGCAAATTTGCTTTCTTTCCCCTCCCTTTTCTGTTTCCCAATTGATGGCGGATCCCCAATTTCCATAAGATGAATCGACGAGTTCTTTGGGTTATTATTAGGCTCCAATGCAGCCTGACAAGCAGATTTCGGGAATGATTGAGGAATCAGTAAGGCTTGCTCGAGCTTTCTGCGATAAGAAATGGCCCGTGTTCGCTTTCCTCGACACACACCATCGTGACGTTCCCGAGCCTCCTTACCCGCCTCATTGCATCGCTGGTACAGATGAAGCAAATCTAGTTCCTGGTAATTCTTGCTTTCTCGCAGTATTTTGTTTTTAATTGTGGCGATGTTTGATCATTGAACCAGGGATGTTGAATTGCGAATGAGTTTCTGGGGTTTGGTTTCTCTAATTAGGCTTAGTTTGTTGACGGTTGCAGAACTTCAGTGGTTAGAGAATGAGGCTAACGCCACCCTGAGGCGTAAAGATTGCATTGATGGGTTCATTGGTTGTGTTGAGAAAGATGGATCCAATATGTTTGTGGATTGGGTTGTGAACAATCAAATCCAAGCTGTAAGTAGCTTTTGATTTTCTTCATTATGCTTGTTTTTTTTTTGTGGGTGACCTTTCTTTCTTACTTATAGCATTGTCTGACATTATGGTTGGTACTCTGGCATATTGAAGATATTGGTGGTAGGGATATGCACAGATATCTGCGTGCTGGATTTCATTTGTTCAGCATTATCTGCCAGGAATCGTGGTTTGCTTTCCCCTTTGCAAGATGTGGTTGTTTACTCTCACGGTTGTGCAACATTCGACCTTCCTGCTCGTGTTGCTAGAGCTGCTAAAGATGTTATAGCTCATCCGCAGGTATCTCAAAGTTCTCCATTTCTTTGATTTGGTTATCCTAGTTTTGAGAAGGCAGTGAATTCTTGAAGTTGATCAATATTACAAGAGTTGGCCAGTGTTGAAATGGTTTCCACCCATGTCCTGATGTGATTGAAGCTATAATTTTTGCATTATTAGTAAGGCTTATGTCTCTATCGATTCCTTAACTTAGACAGCTTTATTCGCTTTTTCTTCCAGGAGCTGATGCATCACATCGGCCTATACATAGCAAAGGGGAGGGGAGCCAAAGTAGTATCTGAGGTGACATTTAGTTAACTAGAAGAGCCTGAGGTTTTTAGGATAAGAGCCTGAGAGTTTCTATTTCATGAGCAGATGGAATTCATGTGCTGCCACTGATGCTCATATATGTGTGTCTTTGATTTTAGTTACTTCAATGTTCTTTATGTTGTTGATAGTTTAGTGCTGCTTAAATCGTCTTTTCATGGATCGTTGAATGCGGGGCAAAGGAAAAGTATCATGTAATTACCTGCAAACAGTTGAAATTATTAAATCATGTTTATCAGCAAACAGTTGTATCTCTGTTTGATGAGTTGTTATAAATGGTGTCTCTTTCTTCCTCTGTTTTTACTTAGTCTTATCCAATCACAAGGGAAATTAAATATAAGAAATTAGATCTGTTTCGGAACATCCAAAGAAGCATTGTCAATATTCTGAAAATTCTCCATAAAAACTCTGCAAGTCTCTAAAGTACACAGAATATCCAGAAACAGAATCCATGATCTCTCTGGATAGACAAAGTTACATAATGAAAGAATCTACAAATACAATACACCAAGAAAGGAGGGGTGAGAAAATGGGAAAAAAGAAAAAAGGAAGATACATTAATCATAGATTTAATCCTGATCTGAATCCGTTGTACTTTCTGTGGAGTACTGGATGGACGCAGGCAAAAATTGAATGCTTTTGCTTTTTTGGTTTGACTCCAAAAATGAAAGATCTCAAAGGAACTCGAGCTCGGCTCTCTGAGTGTTGAAGTTGGATATTCTGGCGATTCTTAGAACCAGCAAGCTTGAATTCCTCATTCAATTTGGCCAGTGTTCTCTCAACCTCAAGTTGTAAGGTTGTCACATGATCTAACCCTGCTTGCAATTCATCTGCAACTTTGTTGTTCTCTTGCTTCATGTTTAGAATCTCACCTTGAAATTTTGCAGCCTGGTAGCTGGTGAACTTGAACTCTTCATCTTCAGCACTCTCCTTGAGAGCTTCTTTGATATCATCCTGAATCTCACACAAAGCAGAGAATCTTCCTTTGAGTTCATCTTTTAGCGTCATACCTTTCTCAATCCAAATTGTTAACTCAGCATGGATCTCTCTTAGGTGCTTATACAATGGCTTTGCATCCGATTTCAGACTGTACTTCCCATGGCTGCTCCCTTCTTGCTTCCCCAACTTTTCCTCCAGTTCAGACAACTCAGATTGTAAGTCTCTGACTTCGGTCTCAAATTGCTGCACCTGTTGAAATGTGGTGCTGAACCTCAGCCAGAAATCCAAGTTATCCTCCAAAACTTCATCAATGCTCGACCGAAACCTCTCTTCAATGGGCGAGATTTCATCATCAAGATCCAGATTGAAGTCGTGTAATATATCCGCCACTGTGAATGGTGACTCAGGTTGGTCATCATTGTCTTGCTGCAAGAGGCTAAGTTTTTTCTTCAGCATTCGAATCTGTTCGTCCTTTTTTGCATTGGCTGCCTTTAATTCTTTCAGCTGGATCGTTATATCAAACAAGCTATCCCCTCCTTTAGTCTCTGTTTCTGTGAGCTTCTTTTTAACTTCTTTGTAGCTTCGAAGAATGGTCGTGTACTCTGCAAGAAGAACTTGTTCTCTATTCTCCACACCTTTCAGGAACAGCTGCTTCCAATCCGGTTCGTCGTCTTCACTCTCACTTTTCAGTGATGATGCATTGTCTTGTGTTTGAACACTATTATCATCAGTTGTTGTTGGTGTTGTTGTTGCTGCTTCTGCTGTTGCTTTTTTTTCTTGTGTTTCACCACTAACATCAGCTTGTCTATTTCCTGTTGCATTTTCTGATGCATCAATGTCAACATTAGCGACTGCAGCTGCTGCCACTTCTTGTGTATCAGCACTGCGCATTTCGATTTTCTTCGAAGATATTTGTTTTGCAACAGTTTTCTCGTCGCTAGAATCCTCTGCAGTGTCATGTTGTTGTTTCTCTTCAGATTGAACTCCTTCTTGTGAATCCTTCATCAGCAGGCTACCAAGATCTTGGTTACCAGCAACTGATACAGACTGGTTCAAGTTGTCATCTGGTTTCTGCACCTGCTGAATTTCTTCTCCTCTGGTCAAATCTGCATCCTTTCTTTCTTCTACTCCTTGTTCATCACCAGCGTCAACATTTGCTGCTGCTGCTTCTACCTTTTCTTGTGTACCAGAGCCAAGCTTCTCGAGTTTCTTCAAAGATTTTTGCTTTGAAACTGCTTTAGCATCCTCTGAAGACTCATCTTCATGTCTCATCTGGGTTTGAATTTCTTTCTTCAGATCATCTCCCAACAAGCTCCCAAGATCTTGTTCTTTTCTCTCTACCTCAGTTCCGGTATCCCCCAATATTTCACCAATCGAAACGGAATGGCTCGGTTTGTGCTCTTCTTGTTTCTTCTCGTGTCCAATTTCCTCTCCTCTATTCACATCTCCATCTGTTGTTTCAGCAACATATCCTTGATCTTCTGTCCTCACATTTGCAGCAACATTTTTTACTTGTTCTGCAACTTGTTCCACTTCTTGTTTCACGTTGGCAGTTTCTTCCATGGACTTCTTGTCCTTTTCCTTCTTTGGCTTGTCCTTCTTTTTCTTATCCGAAATTCTGACCTTCTTCCTCGATTCCCTTGCCTCCCTTGCTTGCCTAATCTCATCAGCTACTTGTTGCTGCTTCAACTCCCTCTGACTTTTCTCTTTGTCTTGCTGCAACCACATTAGATACAGACACACAGACTTAATAACCAAACAATTCACCACGAGGTTTAGTAGGAAATCACTACAAAAAAGCCACTTACTTTCACCGAGTTATCAAACTCAGCAACTGCATTCCTTATGTTCTTCCCCTTAACAAATGGCTGCTGTTGAGATGATTCGAACTTGGGAGCTTTCTTAAACTGCTGCCTTGGTGGAGTCTGAACTTCCTCATCTGGCTTCACGCTATCCAACTTATCATGCAAATGATCAAGATTACACTTTGCTTCCATGAAATTCGTCTGTAGATTCGTGCTTTGATTTTCAACATCCTCATTCATCTTCTGAATCCCTTCCAGCTTCCTCTCCAACTCCTCCACCTTCTCATTCTCCATCTTCTCTTTATCACCACTTTCCAAGCAACTCTGGATCTCACCATTAAGCTCATCAGTCTCAGCCTTCATCCTCTGAATCAACGCAGATTGAGAAGAAACCGCTGCTTCTAATCCAATCACCTTGTTCACCAACTCATCAATCTTTTCAGCCATCTCACTAACAGTGAAAGATGAATCAGCACTCGCCTCAAAATGCTTCTTTATCTTTTCCCTCAATACCTCGATCTCCTGCCTCTGCTGTTGCAAAGCTCTCATCTCCTCCTTTTCTTCTTCCTCTGTGGCAGCAGCAGCCGCCGCTGCAACATCGGAACTGCTCTCGTCCTCCTTCCTCCCCTTTCCCTGATCAATTTCTCCAGAAGAGTTTTGATTCAGAAGAGACTTGAGCTTCTCCTGGGCTTCCTTAATCCTCTTCCTCTCCTTCTTAGCCTCCTCGGCCGACTTTTCCTGCTTCTCCTCCAGTTTCGCCAGAGTCTCCTGGCACGATTGCAGGGCAGCTGACGTCATCACCGACCGTGCTTCATCATCATCGATCACCGTTTCGGCGCCGAATTCATCCTGCAAGCTGCAAGCTTTATCCTGAATCTCTCTAATCTGCTGATCAATTTCCCAATATTTCGCCAACCCGTTTTCATACGAGCTCTTGACAAACTCTTTCTCTGTCTGTAAAACCAGAACCTGCTTCTGAAGCTTGTCGATCTGTTTGAACGCTTCAGGTTTCGACATAGTGGGTTTTGGAGCAGCTGGAGACGATGATGAGGTTGTCACCTTGATCGATTTCTTGGGTTGGAGTTTTTTAGTGGCGGATTGGAACATGCCCTTTATCTCTTTGGGGAGCTTGGGCACTTTTGGGATGTTGCCCTTGGGGAGATCCCCGGCGGCGGGGAGCTTCTTAAGGAAACGTGGGGAAGGGATGTCGTCCTCATCGTCCATTGCCATCTGGACTTGTTCGGGGAAGACGTAGGCGATGGTGTTGTTGGCATTCTGAAGCTCGGTGGAGATGTGATCGTAGCGCTCGGCTAATGCTCTGTAAGCTCGGTAGGATTCTTCGACGAAGATGATGATCTCTGGCCGTTTCTTGTAGTACATTTCTGCCCTCTTCGCGAAGGAGTCTCCATCTTCTGATACCAGGGCCATCACGTTGTGCACCTTTTCTTGCATATCTAGAAATCCATTTCAAACATTTCTCATCACTACAAAGGAACATGTTTTCAGATAATACCAAGATCAATGTTGGATGATTATTAGCTAAAATTTAGCATACACTAACATGTTAAGGCAATAATGGTGAAAGAAAACAATGCAGCTTGGAATTTGCAGAAAAAAGAAAGAAAAAACATGTTACGTTTTCAGGAAATGTATCAAGTTGAGGAATGATTTTGGATGAATGTTGTAATGGTTATGGTACCTTGAAGGTTTTGCTCGAGCCATTTGGATTGTTTGGTTCTGATGTGGCTGGCCCACCACCATGAATAAGCATTGCCTGCAGCTCTCTGCAACATTGTGTATCTTCTTCTTCTTCCTCACAGGCCCTTGTTTGCTGGTTTTTTGGGTTGTGAAAACGTTAACACATAGTGTTTGTTGTTTTGTAAGAATCAATGTGGTTTACATTTGGGTGATGAAGAACATGGAAGCTACTACTCTTTCTTTTCCTTTTGTCTATTATCATGAAATCAGGGGAAGGATATCCAAGATCTAAGATAGACATGGTACCCAATATCCATTCTCTTGTCTCTGTTTGTTTAAGGTGGAGAGAGAATGGAAAAGAAGTGGAAAATCAAAGAGAAGAAGAGCAAAAAAGGAAAAGTGAAAGGAGTGGGGGGAATGTGTGGAGTTAGAGGTATTCTGTTTCTTTCTTTTCCTTTCTTCCTTTTTGCGTTTGCAGCAATGGCTGTCTCCCTGAGATGGTGGCTAGGAGCGAATTCCGCCTGTCAACTTGCTCTTCAAACTTTCTTCCCAATTTCTCAAATGAAAGAAGCCTACGAGCAAATCCTATCACTCCACATGTCGTCCAGATCTCTTCATTGGGAGAGTACAGGTGGAGAAGGACGATCATTGAGCCAAAGACGGCTTTTCCCGGCTCATTTTGGCAACCACTTTTCACACTTTTGTATGTATGATCATACGAGTCTCTTCTTGTTTCTCAAAGAATAAAAAGCTGCCAATTGTTTTATTTTGGAGACATTAGTTCTTTCATGCATGTTCAAGCGAGAGATACTGAGTCACATATACATATCTTTTGATGGGATTAATTTATAAGAGGAGTTTGAACAACCAGCTGCTGGTGTATTAAAGAAATGGAAATGAAGATTTTTTTTCGTGTTTAGAATATATGAGTAAATAAAATAAAAACTGGACCTCCCCACCTATCAGCCCACCATTCGAATTGTTGTGTAGCATGATGAGGTTTTATTATAATAATTGTAGTATCATGAGATTGGTTGTCGATTGGCTATTTTTAATAATTTTTGTGATTGATTTGAATTTTTGGATTAAACCGACTTTACATAGCGATTACAAATTATCATAGGTGGTTTCTCGGATAAAAAAGAGTCTAATTTTAGTCCTTACGCAAATACACTAAATGGTGGACAATTGGATGTGCAGTATGCTGTTGAGCACGGACCGATGATAAAACTCTTCCCTTTTGACGCGATTGCATCCTCGACAATTTATCATAGAATCTCCCCGGCTTCGTTCTATCTTCCTCGTCATTCTTCAATCTCACAATGAGATTATGGCAATGTGTCTCGACGATTAGAGGCTAAAGACCTTTCTTCTCAGCTTCATAAATGCTCATTCATATAACCCTTGCTTTTGCTTCTTGGACACTGCATCAACTCTTTTAAGACGGAAAAAACTGAAAACAATATTCTCAGCTTCGTTTTGCACAACCCCACCGATATCACATACCTAAACCCACCAATCACATGTGAATTATTATTCATTATGAAGACTTCATCCGATGGCTTGCTTCATCATGGACAGTGTCGGTGAGACACATGCATATCGAGATCAATTTTCTTTTGAGATTTCACATAATCATCTACTCGACGGATAGCTCGCTGAGAGTCTAGAGCGACGATATAACTTTTACTAGTTGGAGAAAAGTTGTTTCCTTTTCCATGCGAAAATTTAGGATTTTATTGAGAGCTTTTAATTTGTTTGGTATTTGGTTTTTTTTTTTTTTTGATAGTTTCATAGCTTAACTCTAAAAACAGGATTATTTTTTAATTGTCTATTTCACTCATATAGTATATATGTCAATATTTCTTCTAAGCTTTTGGATGATAGAATTATATTTTCGGTGATATATATATCATGATATATATATTGCTGAACTCCGATTAACAATAGGGACTATAATTCCGACAAAAAAAAAACTATAGGGTCTGTAACTGTATGAACTAGGCAAAAAACGGTAAGGCTAGCCCACTTGCTAATGAATATTGGGCCGACTTGACCTAGTCATTCAAAGCCCAACCCATTTCCAATTGTAACGGCTAATTTTCACAGCTTTTTTTTTAAAAAATCGAACAAAGAAAACCAAATCAGATTCAGCGGTTGTTCGAACGAGTACCGAGTACTGACACTCGCAATATTTCAAATCCAAACAAACAAACTCGCTCTTCCCCTCACTCTCTCACTTCTAACGGCTCTCTCCAGGAAGTTAGAACTCTGAAACCCCATTCCCCGCGCCCACCCACTGCTTTCTTTACGGATTCTCAACACTCAGTTTTTCTTCGCCAGAAGTAATTCTGCCATGGCGAAGGTCGCCTGATCTCCACAAACAGGTACTAGTTTCTGGATTCTTTGATGGGGTTCTTTGATTTCCGGGAAAAAATTTGAGAAGAAAGCCCCTTGCCCTTATATTTCTGTCGTAAAGATGATTGCTTTTACTTGTCGTCTTCTTGCTTCATTCATCTTAGGGTTTATTGGGGGGTTTCATAGATTCTCCTCTTAGGTTTTCCTACTTGTGTTCAATCTGTTTCGATTTTGTTACATGGGTTTCGTTGGTTGATTGGCTTCCTAGAAATCCATGAACGTGACCGGTAAAAAGGGTTTCTGTGGCTGGATATTTTTTTCATGGATTTTCTCGGTATCCAAACTGGATTTAAGTGCATAGATTTGTGTAATTAGAGAATAGGTAGAATCCATTTCGTTACCCCATTTGTATGGTTAATTGATAAGTTTTCTTGTTCAGAACGATCGAAAGCAAGAAACCCCCCACAGTCCACAAGTGAAGAAATGGAGAGACTCTGCGAAGAACTGGATGAAGCCAAAGCAGAAATCGAGAAGCTGAGAGGAGATTTGAAGAGAAAATCGCAGTCGTTTGACAGCTTGAAGAGATCTCACAATGATCAAATCCGCCAGCTTCAATCAGCACAATCAGAGATCGAGTCACGAACCCACGAAATCAGTGCAAAGGAAGGACAAATTCAGGAGCTAACCCATGATCTGGGAAAGATTCAACGCACGTTGAATGAAAAGGAGTCCATTGTGAGAGGGCTGAGCTCAGCAAACGACAAGCTTCGAGTTTCCTGTGATGACAAGTTTCAGAAATGGGAGGAAGAGAAGAGACACCTGATGGCTTCTCTAGATGAGGCAAATGAGAAGGATATAGATCAGCAGCAGAAGATCAATGTACTTAGGGCAGAGATTGAAGGTCTCAAAGGGATGCTTTCCACTTCTGAGAAAAAGTGTCTGGAAGCTGAAAAGCAGGCCAAAGCAGCTAAAGCACTAAGAGATAGGGATGATGTGATGATGACATTGGAAGAACAGAAGATGAAGGTTGAAGAGAAGCTCAAGTGGAAAAGTGAGCAGTTCAAGCACCTAGAAGAGGCGCACAAGAAGCTTCGATTTGAGTACAAGGAAAACGAAAAGGAGTGGAAACAGGAGAAGACTAAGTTAGTTGATGAGATTTGTTCACTTCAGGAGAGCTTAGATTCTCAGACAAGAATTTCTCAAGATCTTCAAAGCCAGTTGAAGATGTGCAACCATGCCCTTGCACGTGAAGAGAGCCAAAGGAAAGCGCTAGAAGCTGAGGTTTCTGACTTTAAGAAGCGTTTCGAGAATGTTTATACTGACTACCAGGATGCAAAGTCACAGCTGGAATGCTTGACCGCACAAAGGGACAATGAAATTGCAGCTCTCAGGCATTCACTGTTGACAAAGGAGACACGTTGGAAAGAAGTTGAGTACCAGTCAAGAAAGCTCGAGCAAGAGAATCAAGAGCTGCTGGAGTCACTCAAAGAGCTTCGAGAAGCTCAGATTCAGGAAGCTGGGAATGGTTCTTCTCTAGCCAAACTTAAGAACAAGCTGAGAAGTGTGGAGCAGGTGCACAGAGATTGTGCTGCGATTCTCAGGGCTAAAGAAGCTGAATGGAGTTCTCAGGCGGAGAAATTGACTGCAGAAGTTGCCAAGTACCAGTCTGCACTGGAGAGCAGTGAAGCAGTGGTGAAAGAGCTCGAGATCGAACTGGAAAATTGTCGCTCAGCTTTACTGCAGATGAAGTTGCAGAATGAGGAGGCTGCCATAGCATTATTGGTGTTGAAATCAGGAGTAGCTGAGGCTCAATCCAACCTACGAAAGGCTGAAGCTGAGAATAGTATCCATAACACAGAGAAAGTTGATGAAGTTTCTAGCTTGATGAAGCAGCTGGAGATGAAGGATGTTATCTTGGCTAAAGCACAGATGGAAATCGAAGAAGAGCGTAGAAAGGTTGAGTCTTTGCAGTTGAGAGTCGAGGACATCATCCCTATCGAAGAGCAGAAGCTTGTGCTGGAGAAAGAGGTTGCAAGGTACAGGGAGATGCTCGAGGCATCATACGGATGCCATTTCCATTTCAAGGAACAAGCTTTGCAGGCAGAAAAAGATCTGCAGCAGAAAATTGAGACACTCTGCAATGAATTAGACATGGTGAATTCAGAATTGGTACAGGAGCGTGAGAAGGTAGTTTCACTGTCTACAAAGGCCGAGGCCCTCGATCGTGTTGAAGAGAAGCTTCTGTTGCAAGAGAAGGAGCTCGAGAGACAAAAGCAAATGGTCGAGGAATCCTACAATCAACAACGTTGCTTGGAAGAGAAAGCTTTCCAAACTGAGACAAACTTGCAGGAGATGATAAGAGAAATATCTGATGCATTGGATGAAACAACTTCTGAATTGGCTGAAGAAAGGGAGAGAATTGAGTCCATCAGCCTTCTTGAAGAGCAGAAACTAGGGTTGCAGAAGGAAGTGGAGAGGCATAAGGGAATGCTGGAGGAGTCACTGAAAGAGGTTACAAGGTACAGGGAGATGCTCGAGGAATCATCCGGATGCCATTTCCATTTCAAGGAACAAGCTTTGCAGTCAGAAAAGGATCTGCAGCAGAAAATTGAGGCACTCTGCAATGAATTGGACATGGTGAATTCAGAATTGGTCCAGGAGCGTGAGAAGGTAGTTTCACTGTCTACAAAGGCCGAGGCCCTCGATCGTGTTGAAGAGAAGCTTCTGTTGCAAGAGAAGGAACTCGAGAGACAAAAG